TCTTTTCTTTTAAGCATGATTCACCACCTTTCAATTTAACACATACTCCCTCTCATTTCTCTTTTGTGATTGATTATTTTGCATTCATCTGCATTGAACCAAGGCTGGCTGGCATGAGTTAAGCCAGGTGCTTCAGTGATGTAATGCCTCTTTAAGTGGCTCAGTTATACTTTCCTCTCATCTGTCAACTGCAAATGTGAATATTTTGTCCAAGCAGAACCTAATTAAAAACACTTTAGTTCAATACTGACTTATGCAGGGGTCAGCTTCCCATGTTATTAAGTTACCAATTTTGGCTACTTCTTTGCTTCCCTGCTTTTTAGCTGGTAGTTCAATGAGACAATTTTTTCCATTTCAAATTGCATATTAGTACAGCAAGAGAGAGAGAGACTGGATTCAGTGTATTTTTAGTACTCGGAGCACATGGCATAGTAAAACACTATGTTTCCAGAGTGATTACTTGAATGTTCATAGCTGCAAACAGTCCTAGGTGGGATGTACCCTTTGAAAATATGACATTGGAGAGCAGGGTTTGGAATAATGAAAACAGAGCTCTGTGTGAAGGATGAAATTCTGACTCTGCTGGAATCAATGGCCAACACCTTCTGTGTTAGGATGTTATTGACAAGAGTCTTTCATCAACCTACATAGAAAGGCAAAGATTTTGTCATGACTTCTGAGTGGTCAGGCAGTGCAGGATTGAGGAACTTACTTATTTGGAGAGTGATTAATTGATCCAGATGCAGACAGTTCAATCCTCAGCACAGATTTAAGTAGCCCTTAAACTTACGGATTTCCCAGTAACACCCTCCTGACATGTCCATGATCTGCCACCAAGTGCCAGGGGATCCTGCATGAGGCGGTGGAATTATGTACAATAGTCTATGCCAGTGATGGGCAACCAATACTAATGAGTGGGCTGCATGAACGGCCCTCTTTCATCTCAGTGGGCTACATGACATGGCCTGTGGCCCACTGGGGTTCTGCCTCCAGTCTTCACACCCCCTCTCCTCTGGGTCCCCATCCCCTTCTCATGAACTGGGGCACTAGAGCCCTTCACTTACTACTTCTCCCCTCCTTGCCAGCACTTTGGGAGTGCCATGAATCCATTGATTCTTGCTGGGTCCCCACTCCTCTCCCTCCCTCCCAGTGCTTGAATGCTCTTAATCCACTGATTCACAATGTTCTGAAAGTGCTGGGAGGAAGGGGGAGTAGGAAGTCTGGGGCCCCAGTATGCAGGAGGCACTTGGGAGAGGGGGGCAGACAAGGGGGCCATGGGCCGCAGGTGGAACCCCAGTGGGCTGCAGGTGGCCTACCACTGGTCTATGCTGACTCTGCATGTCCCAGGATGCATGGCATGTCAGGGGTGTTCTTGAATGAGGGAGGTGACTTATAGGCCATGGCTGTGTTATGGCCACTTTTCTTGAGCATACTCAGTGCAAAAGAGCCTCGGGTCATGAATGAATTTTCCTTTCTCCCCTCCACCTCCACCTAACCCCACAAGTTCCAGATCGTCATCTTGCATAAGGCATAGTTTAAATCAGGGAAAGGGGAACTACAATTTACATCAGCTGGGTATTTGGTCAGCACTACTCCGGGGATCCATTTGCAACTCTATCAGCACCACATTCTTGCACTTAAAAGGGACTTTTTCCTTTAAGATAACAAATGCTGGTAGCTCCCCATCAGATGGAACAAAATGATGGGATTGTCTAAACCAGTGTTTCTCTAACTCTGTTCCACGGAGCCCCAGGGCTCCATGAGACATCTCCAGGGGCTCTGGGAGGTTGACAAACTAGAAACATCGATAGGTACAACACATACAATCAGTGGACTGCTGGGGTCCGCATACATTTTTACTCACGTAAAGGGCTCTGGAGCCCAAAAAGTTTGAGAACCGCTGGTCTAAACACCCAGCTGAAGAACTCAACCCTCTACTGAGCGTGGTAAATTGGAGATGACGGCTAACTCCCTTTTCGCAAGGCTTAGTTACAAGATGTGGCTTTCAATAAAGCTTTTGAAAAAATGTAGAAAACAATGAATGGTCCTGCATGACACTATCTACATTTTTTGTTAGTATCTAAGGTGCTGCAAGACTATTTATTTTTTAAATTTTTTCAATTACATACTACCCGGCTACCCCTCTGAGACTTTTAAATATAGTTTTTGGTTTGCTAGCCTTAGGATTTTTACTATACTGCATTCACACATCTCTGAACCACTAATGAATAAAAAAGGTTAGGTGCTACATAGGTTTAAATAACAAAGTTGATCAGTTGAAGTGTTTTACATAATATTATGCCTGATACTTTTGCCTTTCATTTTTTAAAAAGACTTCCTCCCTTTTTCTTAAATGGCATGTCCATTTTGTAGATGCTTCATTCAGGGCATGAGTCTTTGTTAAATTAATGTTTCCAAAGCCTTGGAATTTTAAATTGTTTATTACTAAATTAGACTCCATTAAATTGATGCTCTGTTGAACTGATGTGCTGAAGTACTCTGAAGTTGAATAGAAGACAGAAAACAAAGGGAAGTTAATTAAGCACTAACACAAGAGGATAAAATAATGATGCCCAGCAGCAAACAGCCTCATAGTACTATTCTGCAAATCATTAGAGAGCTATTTTTTGTTCTCATCTCTGAAGAGTCTGAAGCTTCTATAGATTTTAATGTTGTTTTGCTCTGGAACTATGACTGTCAGTGAACATTGGAGAAATGGAAAGCACATTAAAACTTGGCAAGAGAACACCAAAGAGCTAAAATACCACTTTGGTATAGCCGTGTTTTAAGTTCAAAATCTAAAGTAGTTTTTAAAAAGTAGGTGTGTGACAAGCCTTTCCCAGAGCGAATTGGTGGAGCTCAGAGAACAAACACCAGTTGATGTTACTTCAACAATCTAACTTTCCACATACTTCTACCCATTCGTTGCCTTTTATTCCCAGCCTGTGCTCTTCATAGAACTAAAATACCAGAATCAGAAATCAAATACTGCTCTCAATGTGAACACCAATGGAAAAACGCCCTGTTACTTCATTACATTTTGGATCAGGCCGTAGCCAGCAACTCAGTAGTTTACCCAGATCTTTGAATACAGTGATGTGCCAAATCATGTATCCCATGTTACTCCCCGGAATAAAGTCATCGGGAAGCTTCACTTTGTCAAGGAATCTCATAGCTGCTCAAGAAATGCTGAGTAACTTGTGCTGTGGTGTTGTGTTATAGCCTAGGGCTGTAAAACTTTGGATGACTTCACAGTATTGAAGCTGTCCTGTGATCATGTGTATGGTGATAATCTACCATTAATGTATGTGTATGTAAAGTGGGTTTTTATTTAGCAGGGTGATCTCTATTGCATGACAGAAGTGGAATAAGCAGTTCTAACATTCATATCACTTAGAAGTGATGGAGATAGAAATATTGCTGTCATGCTTCCTGTAAACTGATCGTTTCCATTGGTACATTGACAACCAAACTAGGTGAAACATAGTACAATAGATTGACTTAAGATATAGCTCTAAATTGTCATTCGTGATAATGAAATGCCTTAGCTTCTGAACTACTAAGTGTGGATTATTTCTATACCTACAAAGCTCAGATCCCTTGTCCCCTGAATCTTAGAACTTTTCAGATCATAGCTTTCTTCTGGAGTGTACTAGCCTGGGCCTGTCCAGCTTTTTTCAGTCTTAACAGTAGAGTGTCTCATGGGCACTTCACCTCTCATTCATAATGAACAGACCTCGTGCTCTCCATCTGCAACTATATCACTTCCCTACAGTAGTGGCATTTATGGAAAATAATATAACATTAGGAGAGTGTGACGGGTTCAATCATAGGAGTCCCCCTGGGGCTTTCACCCGGTGTGCTGATCACGCCACTGAGCCCGCCAGACTGCCCTCTGGGGCACCCGACCACCCTATCCTGCTGGGCTAGAAGCTCTGATCTCCCCCAGCCAAGGCACAGAATTGGGGTTACTGTCCTGCAGCAAAGTAACATAGATGCTAAACCAGCCCAGCTCTGGGGAGGGCTTCAGTTATAAGTCCATTGACAGCACCCAGGAGCACAGCCCCAAAGAGGACCAAACCCCCAAATAAATCCATCCTACTCTATATAAAAGTTTTACACAGAAAGTTCTCATACAGTCAGTCCTCTTTATCAATGAAAGAGAGATTTGCATAGTGGCTGCTCCCCACCCCACAGGTAACAATTATTTACACAGAATGCTATAATAAACACAAGTGTTTTTATTTAGCATAAAAAGTAGGATTTAAATAATTACAGGTAAAAACAGGCCGATCAAAAGTTACTGAGCCAAAATAAACAAAACACACCATCTAACCCTAATTCATGAATAAACTTGTTAGATGCAAATTCTTATCCTAACAGTGCTAATAATTTATTTCACAAACTAGGCAACCTCCTAACTTGGGCCAGTCTTTCCCCTTGTTCAGTCTAAGATGTTTCCAGTAGGTATCTTGGGTGATAAGTAGGGGTTTCCTGGCTCCTGGCAACTACCACTGTTGCTTGGTTTCCCACCTTTATATCCCTTTTGCCCAAGATGGGAATTATTTGTGTTCAGTTCAAACTTTTGTCACCATGAGCTGAAAAGTACCAGATTCAAGATGGGTTCCAACATCAGGTACCTGGACATACCAACCGCAATTTGGGCTTACAGGAAAAACAAAACCATTCACAGATTGTTACCTTGAGCACCAGGCCATTAAGTTTCCAGAGTATCAATAATGACCCTCATTAGCACATTTATAATTATAAACAGATCCACACTTAATATTTCTGACTTCACATACAAGAATGATACATCTACAGAAATAGAACATACATATTCTACTGATTGTAACTTTGAAAATGGTGTTACATGATGCATTTTGCCTAAAGTGTCTTCAAGTTATACATATTCTTATTCATAAGCCAATTTTCATAGGGCCCTACCAAATTCATGGTCCATTTTTGTCATAGGATTTTAAAATGGTAAATTTCATGATTTCAGGTATTTAAATCTGAAATTTCATGATGTTGTAATTGTAGGGATCTGACCCAAAAAGGAATTGGAGGAGGGATTGCAAGATTATTGTATGGGAGTTACTGCTGCACAGCTGCTGGCCAGGAATCCTGCTCTGAAGACAGAGCTACCACCAGTAGCAGCAGAGGAGAAAGGATGGCATGGTGGATATGGTATACGTAGACTGTAGTAAGGCAAAGGTCATGCAAGACCATATAAAAAAATGAGGAGTAACATTAGTTTGAACCAAGGGGTTTGATTCGAACTAACGCATCCCGGAGCGCACTTCCTGATTCAAATCAGCTGGTGAGCGGAATAGCGCGCGGGCGAGATTATGCTATTGAAGCGTGGGATATTTAAATCCCCACTTCATTAGCAATTTTGGTCAGCTACATTTGCATCCCTAGTTCGAACTAGGGAGCAAGTATAGATGTACCCTGAATCTTCTGTTCTCAGAGAGTAGTTATTAACGGTTCATGATCCTGCTGGAAGGGCATAACAAGTGGGGCTCCGCAGGGGTTTGTTTTGGGACCGGTTCTGTTCAATATCTTCATCAACTATTTAAATATTGGCATAGAGAGTAAGCTTACTAAGTTTGCAGATGATACCAAGCTGGGAGGGGTTGCAAGTGCTTTGGAGGACACGGTCATAATTCAAAACGATCTGGACAAACTGGAGAAATGGTCTGAGGTAAATAGGATGAAGTTTAATAAGGACAAATGCAAAGTACTCCACTTAGGAAGACATGATAGCGGTCTTCAGGTATCTAAAAAGGTGTCACAAGGAGGAGGGAGACAAATTGTTCTCCTTGGCCTCTGAGGATAGGACAAGAAGCAATGGGCGTAAACTGTAGCAAGGGAGATTTAGGTTGGACATTAGGAAAAACTTCCTAACTGTCAGGGTGGTTAAACACTGGAATAAGTTGCCTAGGGAGGTTGTGGAATCTCCATCTCTGGAGATATTTAAGAGCTGGTTAGATAGACATCTGACAGGGATGGTCTAGATGGTACTGGGTCCTATCGTGTGGGAAGGGGACTGGACTCGATCTCTCGAGGTCCCTTCCAGTTCTAGCGTTCTATGATTCTATGGTATGGTATTGCCACCCTTAATTCTTCACTGCTGCCTGCAGAGTTGGGCCTTTAGCAGCTACTACTCTCTCTTCACCCACATCTGAAAGCTGCAATAAAGAAATAAGGGTGACAGGTATGGTATTTCCACCCTTACTTGTGCACTGCTGCTGGTGAGGTGCTTGCTGCCTTCAGAGCTGGGCTCCTGGTCAACAGAAAAACCACCACTTTCCAGTTGCCCAGCCCTGAATGCATCACAGAAGTATAAGTGGCAATATGTGACCTTCCTAAAATAACCTTGTGATTCCCCTGCAACTCCCTTTTGGGTCTGGTCCCTCAGTTGGAGAAATGCTGGTCTCTCCCTGTGAAATCTGTATAGTATAGGGTAAAAGCACACAAAAAGCCAGATTTCACAGATGGACACCAGATTTCATGGTCCGTGATGTGTTTTGCATGTCTGTAAATTTGCTAGGACTCTAGTTGTCAATTGGGTGTGTGTGTGTGTGTGTGTGTAGCAGAGAGTAATAATCCAATTGTGCCTTTTTAATATGATTTAGAAGGTGGAAACAACAATTAGAGTTAGTTCTATGTGAGCATCCAAATTTCCATGAATCATAAACAAGTGCTATGCAGACCTCCTGTAGTCCAAAGATCTCCTAAAGAGGAGAGAAAATGTGACTGTACTGTCTCTCTCAGTCCATGTATTATATAGATGATCTAGCAATATAAACTGTGTTGCTTGCAATTCCACTTTGCCATGTTATAAAAACAAACATAACAGGGCATACAAGCTAAAATCCTGTAGCCTTACTTCTTAGACATTCATCTCAAGCCAGGCCTGTGAAGTAGGTTGCCTCACTGACTTTGCTTGTTTTTGTTTCCTACTGCAGAACGGCCTGCCTTCAGAAGAAAACCCTTACCTTTTTAATGGGGATTTTGTTGATAGGGGGAAACATTCCATAGAAATACTTATCATCCTGTTTGCTTTTCTTCTGGTCTACCCCAACCATTTACACTTAAACAGAGGGAACCATGAAGACTATATCATGAACCTGAGGTAACTTTATCTTTTGTCCTTTTCCCATGCAAGTATCTCATACAAGAACACCTTTTTGATCTATTTGCTACAATAATGATGACTCTAATTCCCACAGGTTTGTCTCATGCAAAACCCAGTGTTTCATATTCTGCATCTTACTCAGCAGAGGGAAGGGTTATTTTTTACTAAATACTTTAAACATGTAGCTGATTCATTTCTCACACCTGACCCCCTGAAGTCAATCAGCTTTGCAGAGCTTTCAAGTGTACTCAGTGGTGGATTAATCACTGGACCAATTGGGCCCATGCCCAGGGACCATAGGAAAATGGGTAACCCCACAGCCTAACTTTGCTGTCTGGCAGGAGCATCAGGCAGGGGACAGCAGGACAAGCCCCGGAACCCAACCCAGCTCCCCAACAGGAGCGCCAGAATGGGAGGAGGGAGGAATAGAGGGCACTTCAGGTAGAAGGGGCAGAGAGGAGCCCTACTTGCTGTGGCCTAGGGCCCCACAAAGTCATAACCCACCTCTGGCTGTACTAGATTTTGAGGCACACTCCATATTTTGTTTGAATCAGGTTGCCTGTTCCACAGCACTGATAAGGCAGCTAGTGTTCCGTGCCAAACACATGCCACTCCCTGTCCAGATATCTTGTTACACCAGAAGAAATGCACTAAGTTGGGAGCCAGGCATGGGTGTTGTTTGGGGAGGTGCAGGGGGGCATTACCCCCAAACAGGTGAAGCATGGGGGGGGAGGGGTCATGCACCATGTATTTCTGCAAGCGCTGAGCTTCCCTGCAGGACTCGCTGTGGTTGACCTGAGGGGAGGGTGGGGAGAAGAGGGCTTGGTCATTCCTATATTTTGGTTCGCAGGGAGCAGATGCAACAGCTTTTCCCATCCTCTGGGTCCTGCCACTACAGCTGGAAACGATTTCTTGGTTCCTTGTGCCTGCTTTACTCTACAACCCTGAGTACCCATAAGGGGCGAGGGGCAGAGCAAGAGGGTGAATTGAGGAAAAGAGACAGTGGGGAAGGGAGGAGGGGAGGAAGGGATGTGGAAGAGAAGGGGATACGAGAATGGGCAAGTGGAAGCAGGAGCCCAGCATGTTGCATTTCCTGGGCATCTGCAGCCCCAGCTGGGAGGCAACCCCAGCAGCCCCAGAGCAGTGACATCACTGCAGCAGCCGTGCTGGAGTGGTCACTAGCAGCCGCAGGGGCATCCCCATTATGGCATCGTATCCCACCCAGCACCGGCAGCCCCAGGTACTCCTGAAAGCAGGGGTGGGGAGAACCAGTGAACCAAGGGAGCTAGCTTCAGTGTGCACGTATGAGTGCATGAATGTGCATGGGTGCACTTCTCCCTTCCTCCCCCCAAATATACCAATCAGGCTATGCCTCTGGAGCCAGGGGACCAGGAGCAAATCCCATTTCTATTTACTGCTGCGTGTCAGCATTTATTGATCGAGGAGTCCTTCCACACCTTAGGAGACAGGCTGGCATCACCCTCCTTCATTGTACAAATAAGTGAATTGAAAGGCTACCCAAGGTGATCTCAAGAAAAACTGAGGCTGTGGCTGACCCAAATGTCCATTCAGCCACATTGCGTCTCGGAAAACATGTGCCAAAGCAGTGTTGTTAGCTATCCTGATTGTAACCTCCGGTCTCTCACCGCTGGACAACACTGTTTTCCCAGACACAGGAAGAGAATCCAACCATCGTGATCCCCAGCATTGCCTGCTGCCTAGCAAAGACTTGCTTGACCAAATAGTAAGGGATGGGTTGTCTCCCCCTCTCATGATTTTTACACAGAGGATATATTATTAGCTGAAGTGGTAGAGTGCTATGCAGGAGAGCTGAAGTTCAGAATTCAAACCATGGTGATGTCTATGTGAAAGGATCCTTGTGGTTGAAGATATTTTTTTAAACATGTTTGTTTAATTAGTGCAGTGAGACAATATTCTTAAAATGGGGTTTAAAGTGGAAAAAACATAGATCAATCAGTTATTGTGCGATGTGCAATACAACGGAGATGTTTCACATTATAGTCATTTGTGACATATTTTGAGTGGTTGTATCACATACTGGCAAATTTGAAGGCAGAGAGATGGGACTCTGGGTAAGTCCCTTGCACTGATAGAAAGCAGGACTTTCATCCCCCTGAAATCAATGGAGTCACAATAGTATAAAACCAATGGCAGATCGGAATCTTGCTCTTTGTGAAGCATGGACATGGTTGGTAAGCTTTTGGGAAGAACATAAATGATTTCTCACTGACTTTACTGGAACTCGTGCTCTGTAGTCACTTTGGTTCCTTTGAAAATTCATAAGGCAAAAGAATTGCAAGAAGTTTCTCTTTTGTTAATGGCCAAGAGCCCACCAGTTGCTGTTGTTCTGGGTCCATTAACATTATATAATGGTCAAAACTCATCGTAAGCTTAACGAATCAGAGAGTAGAGAAAAGCCATTTGTACACTATTAAATCAGGAAAATGTCTGGGCGTGTTATGGAAAACGGAAGAGGAAAAGAGGGAATGGAGAATTTCTGGGAGTGACTGTAGTTCTCTTTTTTGTAATTATTTGTTAAAGAATTGCAGTGTTTGCGCAAGCGATAATGGTAGATTTAATGTTTCACAACATGAATCAAAGAAACTCTTTCAGGGTGATAGTAAAAAGTGATCACTCAGAAAGTCAGTTTGTGACATTGTCTTTGTTTTTCAGATATGGCTTCACAAAAGAAGTTATGAATAAGTATCGGGTAAGATACCTTCTCTCCCCCTTTATTTGCTTCCAACATGTGCAAACTTATGTGTGTATCAACAAGAAGGTTTGGTCTCAGGAATATTGGGTAAATACAGAGTACCTCCATCGAGATCAACAGAATTATTTTGGATTTCTCCAGATATAACCGTGAGATTAGAATTTGGACTGCCAGTTTTATTTATATCAAAGAGATGTGTGAGGTGAAATAGGAAAAGTTTATAAAGTCAAACAGTAAACATTGGAAAAAATAAACTGAAAAAACAAAGAAATGATCAAGGTAGAATCCAGGGTCCTGAAGTTAAATTTTGGAATGTATATATTCATGCTATATTCCTCAGTTAAACCAATGCACTGAATTATTCCGAGCGATTATTGAAGTCTGAGCAAAACAATGAACTCAAAAGAATCTTCCACATTATTTACTTATTGTGATTAGCACCAAAGGCTTTAAAGAATGATATCTAATAAAATAATCATTTTACAGTCCCATGGCAAAAAAATTGTAAATCTTCTGCAAGATGTTTATAGCTGGCTTCCCCTGGCCACTGTAATTGACAGCAAAGTACTAATCGTACATGGAGGTATTTCCGACACTACAGATTTGGATTTCCTGAATTTATTTAAGAGAAATAAGGTAAGAGACTGCACTTTTATGGTGTTACCTTTATTCTGTTTGTGATCTCTGAAAGCATTTTATAAGCAAAAATATTAAGGTAAAGTTGTCTTAGCATTTTATAGATTTAGAGAAGACAGGAGATATTACCTAAAGATAATACAAGCAAAATAGAGGCAGTGATCCATAGAAGCTGCATTAATGTCCACATATACCAGACAAAGCACAGACTTGGTGTAAGGAAGGAAGGGAAACATTTGTGGTAGTGAATGGTGCCAGTGGATATTTTGAGCCAAATCTTCAGCTGGCATTAATGAATGTAGGTCCATTGAGATCCGTGTCTGACTCACTACTGTGCTGGTGCACCACCCGAGGCTCTGACCCGCTGGGTACATTACCTTATTTTAGCACCTCACAGAAGTTTCAGGAGAACTATGAAATCCATCTAGAATGTGAATTTCTTCCTTTTCAATCAAGTTCAGATTTCCTGTAGTGATAATTGTGCACTGGACCCTGAGCTCTACACTCTGATCTGTGCCAGCAGAACTCCTTAGCCTGCGTGGAGTTACTTTATACTGATATGAAATCCCACAGAAGTCAAGGATCTCCCTATTTGGATCCTGTTTCAGGATCAAGCCCATAGGCAGCCACACTGCCCCTTTTCATAACTGAAACGAGTTCAGAAGACAAGAGGTCAAATTCAGCTATGAGATTAAACAGGTGCAACTCCCGCTGTAAACAGTGGAAGTTACTAACACCAAGTCTGTTATTTGCGCATATTAATGCTGCTTCTATGCAACACATAATTGACATGTAGAAATCACCTCCATGGGAGAGTATTGAAAGACTTCAGTAAGAGTCAGGCATTTGTGGGCTGGAATCCAGGCTATGCTCTGGCATTTGTGGTGTTGCAAACTGGTCCCTGGCACAGTTTGCTGTTACTGATATCTAGCTGCTATTTTTTTGCACGCTAAACAGTCTCCACTGGGGACAGCTCATATTTTTGAATCAGTGCCTTCGGTAGATAAGAGCTCTTTGGATGTTGGTCAAGACAATGGGGAAAGACAGCTTCTGCTCAGATATGTAAGATTCTGTGGAAGAAAATTATAATAGAATCAATTTTATTTTTCTTTAATAAATTGTGTAAAACACATACTTTTTTGGCTAAAAATGAGCTAGTGCAAGTGGATTTCAAAAGAGAATGCAAGGAGCAGCCTGGGCCTTTCCAGAAAAGATTTGTTTTGAAATAAATTGCTATAGCCAGCCAGCGCAGTTCCAGCAGAGCGCTAGCCCTAAGGCCAATTCTAAAAACTTAGGGTTATTTAAGGACCTTGTGTCTGATTCACTGCTGTGTTGTAGTTTTATCCTGGTGTTATTCCACTGATTTCAACTAAGTTACACCAGAGTAATGCTAGCATAAAGAGTGGTGAATCAGGTCCATGTTTCCCAGTAAACATTGTTTCATCCTGAGTATTATCAATAAAGGAACAGATTTTTCAACATGGGTATCAAACTTCCAGTGGAATTATGTACCAAAGTATCTACCCTGAGGTCAAGCATCGTATTTGATAAAAAAGCTAAAGCTCAGCATTTGAATCTAGTTTGTGATGAGTTACTATGGCCTTAAAGCAGTTATAGCTGAGAATATGGAGCATATGATGAAATGTGGAGCATCTTTGGCTTTTTTGGATTATACAAGCATCACAAGTCTGTCTTTTAGATGAAGTCTGTGCTGAGACCACCAAAATCAAGCACAGAGAGAAATTATGACCTGGAAAGAAGTGACTTTGTAGAGTATTCTCCTGTAACAAGAGTCAAGAGATGCCCTTCTAAGCAGGATATTGCTGACAGAAGAATGCCCAGACCATCATCTTCATCTAGCGATAGAAGACAATATACCAGTGAGCTGTTGGATGTTGGGGAGCACAAGTGGCTACTTCATGATGGTGTCAACTCTGGTCCACTCCGAGAGAAACAGTATCTAGCACACAGAGTTTGTACGCCAAGGGTGCATCTAGAACTGACAGCAAAGGAATGGAAACAAGTATGTGAAATCAAATACACACTTCTCTAAGAAACCTATCTGTATATATAAATAGAATTTATTTTGCGTAAATAGGTTGTTTTGATTTCAAGATGAATAGAAAAAACTTTCAACTTCAGACATTCTGGGTAGTCAAGAAAGCAAAATCATTATGATTGGATCTACTTTTGCCTTTGGTCATTCAGATTCATTTAAAGACACTTTATTCTACTAAAATATTTTGTGTATTGTAATATTTCCTTTGTGTGCAAACATTTCAGTCCGTTTTAGTAGTACAGGTTGAACCTCTCTAGTCTGGCACTCTTGGTCCAGTAACATCTGTGGTCTGGCATAGTCACTTAAAATTTGTTTATAGCCACCAGACTTGGCTCTCAGTGTTCTGTGCTGCTGTTTAGCTCTAATTTACCCCTAAATGTCTTCTAGAGCCTAGTAAGCAGTGGAGTGTCGGTAATGCTGCTACACAATATTGACATCTCATGGTTTGGCAAATTCTCTGGTTCGGCAACAGTCAGGGCCAGAAGATGCCGGACTAGAGAGGTTCAACCTGTATTTGATGCAGTTGAGTGTCCTTGTATGGTAGGATCTGATAGAACAAAAGGTACTTTAGTTTAAATAGACTATAATTTCACAGTCCTCTGTCAAAAATTGCACCTATTTTGCGAGTACAATGCACACACGAGCAGAATTGGAAAGCTGGACACTGACATTCCGAACAAATCCCAGTTCTTTGGGGTTGCATGTTCAGGGCTTGCTTTTTGTTCAGGGGTAAGAAATTTCTTTTGTCATCTTCCCTCTGCTTTTGCCTCGTTTACCAAAGAACAAGATTAAGCCCTCAGTGTATAATAATGTAATGAATTGTGATAACACTATGATCCACATATAATCTGAAAATAGAATTGTAAAAGCAGGTGTGTATTTTCTAAGTTT